AAAATCCACCATATCGCCACCGCCGCTACCAGAGCAGCGACCTAAGGCCACAGCAACTTCCCGCAGCTTCTACACCGGTCCAACATCGCTTCCAGTTGCTTCGACTAACGAGGATAGCAGCAAGCTTACCTTTGCTAGTGTAGTGGCAGCGATCAATGCGCCGACTTCACAACAATCGGCACTTAGTCCTCCACCGCCGTTAAGTAAGACTTCGGCTCCCCGAGCGACGCCCCAAACCACCAATGAACAGCTACAGCAGACAGCAGCCGCATTGCCTATCACGTCGCTGCAGCCTCCTCCATCAGGAGAATATCAACATCAATTACCGCAAGTTGATCTGGACCAGCGCCTCGCGCAGCTGGAGCAGACTATCCTGCGGAAGGTACAGCAAGCCATCGAAAATGCCATAGAGAGGTGTGTCAGGATCGCCATAGAAAAACTGATGTTCGCCGGCATGTTCCCATTTGGGGCAGCTCCACAACAGACCTTGACAGGCTCCACTCCTTCTCCTACTGCGCTCGAAGCGTTGTCGTCATCCGTGACTCGCCCCCTTAGCGGTGGCTCACTTACCATCCGCAACTAAACACCCGGCTCACGGCCGAGTGGGGCTGTCGACCTACTCGACCGTGATCCAGTGGAACTGTCGTACGCTGCGCAAGAAGAAGGCAGACGTCGTAGCAATCCTTCAACTAGCAAACGCGAACGACACACCCACCATAATCGCCCTACAAGAAGTGAACGGGCCACTATTGCGATTGCCGGGATACGACGGCTATTCGCCACATTCGGATCAAGCAGATCCTACAAAGACAGCTCTGTACGTGCAAAGACACACTGATCATGTTCAAATCGACACCGAGCCGTGGTGTACTAACACCACTAGCGTCACAGGGTGCAGGGTAAAGCTTACGCCACAGCGAGCCATCCTTGTCTTTTCAGTCTACATCGTACCGGAAAATACCCGGAATAAAGCCAAACGGTCTCCTATCGATCTCAGCTTTGTTCCTCATTTTAAAAGGCAATACCCGCAGGATCAAGTCTTACTATGCGGGGACTTTAACTCCAAGCACGTAGCCTGGAACTACGACTCATTCAGTGCTCGAAAGAAACGGATAATGGAGGACGCTTCCAAATATGAGCTTTCCCTGCTTAACACACCCCAGATGCATACACGATTGGGCCAAACATGGCGCCAGGCAGATACAACCCCTGACCTCACTTGGGCAACTCTACCCAAACTGTGCACGTGGTCGGTGTTGGAGGACTGTTTGGGAAGCAACCACTTCCCAATCTGCATCCGGGTTCGACATGGCTCCAAAGCAACGCGACGCAATAATACCGGTACTCGAATGAGTCACATTACACATTGGGACAAATATCGCCTTGCACTCGATGAAGAACCTCCCAAGGCGAGCATCGAGCTTCGAACCCAGCAACTCCATGAGGCCAAGACTGCGGCTACCAAGGGACTCCGAGTATCACAAGATCACCCAGACCCTGATCGGCACCTCTTGACGCTTTGGAACCGCAGGCTTCGCCTCCTGGCTGCATACCGCAAGAGGGGCAAACCACGGCGCACCAAGAGACGCCTCCGCAAGATTCAGAATGAAATCGAGCGTTATACGACTGACTTGGCTTCGGAGCATTGGATGCAGAATTGCGAGAAGATCAGCGGACATACTCATCTCTCTAAGATGTGGGGCATTCTGCGTTCGCTTCTCGGCCAACGTAAGACGATGAACGGGGCGGCAAGAGTGGCACTTAGGGAGAACATCAGCACGGCAGAACTTGCCGAGAAAGCTGCCGACATCTTTTTTCCACAAACCTCCATACCTACCGAACAGACCTACGCCAAAGATGACACGAAGGGTAATGACGATGCGATCGACAGCCCTTTCTGCATGGCAGAGCTCAACCACGCTCTCCAACACGCGAATGCGCGGAGCACGCCGGGCGCCGATAGCATATTCTACGCCCACCTCCGCAATTTGCCGGACTCTTACAAAAACGCCCTTCTTGAAGAGATCAATCAGATCTGGAACGAGGGCAAACTACCCGAAGCATGGAAATTTTCTCTTGTGAAGCCAATCCCGAAGCCCGGAAAACCCCCACATTCTCTAACGAACCTCAGGCCTATTTCGTTAACTTTTTGCCTTTGCAAACTGATGGAGAGCATGGTGAACGCTCGCTTGATCTGGCACATCGAAGACAAACAGCTCCTCTATTCTACCCAATATGGCTTCCGTCCTGGTCTATCAACTCAGGACGTCCTTCTTCGCCTCAAAGAAGCTGTTATGAACAAATCCTCCCCACACCCCAAAATCGTGGTGGCAGTGGATATCCGAAAGGCCTTCGACGGCCTTCCTCATGCCACGGTCCTCGCCAAAGCTCGTGATCTCGGACTGAAAGGAAAGATCTACAACTTTGTTGCTGCCTTCCTAGAGAACAGATCATTCCAAGTCCAAATCGGGCAAGAAACCAGCAGCACCCACCACAACGGGGTCGGTGTCCCCCAGGGATCCGTGATAGCCCCTACGTTGTTTAACATAGCAATGTCCCAACTACCGGCAAGGCTGGCAAAGATTCCGAACATCGAACACGCCATATACGCAGACGATGTCTCAGTGTGGACCCACACGGGATGCTTAGGCAAACAAGAGGAAGCCCTCCAAGCGGCACTCGACACCATACATGCATACTCAATCGAAGTGGGTTTGGCTACGGCACCAGACAAAACTGAGTTCGTCGTGGTTCATGGGGGCAGACATACCAAAGCCAAAGAAGCCGACAAAGACAACATCAGCTTATCAATCGGTGAGCAGCCCATCGCTCGCAAAGTCTCCATCCGATTGCTCGGGATGTTCATCGACGAAAAATGCACAGCAAACTCCTGGTATAGCCGTACTGTCGCAACCACTGAACAAGTTCTACACGTCCTGCGCAGAATCTCAAACCGTACCAGGGGGGTAAAAGAACGCGAACTTCGCCAGTTTGTCACCTCCTTTATTCACGCGAAAGTGATGTATGGTTTGCCATACCACCCCGTCACCCGGACGCAGCTTCAAGCCCTAGAACGTCTCAACCACGAGGCAAGGCGAATAACCACTGGGCTCCCTCGTTACACACCACTAGCAGCTCTGAAAAGCTGCAGTGGCATTAATGACCTCACAGAGCTTCTTGAGACGCACCTTCACACACAAGAGGTCCGCCTTCGATCCACGCACGCGGGCAGACACACGCTAGCCATGCTTGGACATGACATTACCAAACTTCCAGACCTCCCACAACTGTCGCCGCCCTGGGAGCACATCATGCTCACCGGTTCCACACCGCTGCCACAGCATATGCCCCCCGAGCAAGTAGAACGAAGACGAACATTCGTCAAGACACATGTCAAGTGGACCCAAACCGCCTGCCTGGAAGAAAATATCCGCATCGTCTACACGGAAGCCGCTTGTCCTCAAGATGGAACGGATTTTGCCACGGCTTGGGTTGAAACCACTACGTCAACTCAGGGGCAACTCTATCACGCCACAACGGAGCCCATCCACAGCACTCAAGCAGAAATGCACGCTATCATTGATTATGTTCGACTGGCAAATGATTCCTCCAACAACAGCAACACCAAGACCCATTTCCACATCTTTACGGATTCTCAAGCTGCACATCGGGCTTGTGCGGATGTTCGGCACACCACCGTGGCTGTTGAGCAGCTCAGACTCTCCGTGCAACACTTACGTGCTCTCGGGCACGACCTCACAATACACTGGGTACCCGGACACTCCGGAATACCCGGCAACGAAAAAGCTAACCGCCTCGCACGCGCGCTCTTACTATCCGTGCAGGCCAGAGCAAGATCCAAAGATACAGTTTGCCTTCCTCACGAACAAGTAGAGTCCCGTGCACTACCACCCGACCCAGCGGAAGAGATATTCAAGGCACGGCACTACCGCAGAGCCTACCTCTTGGCTACCGCCAATCCCCTCCTTACACCCTTCCCTCCTTCTCAACTCTTCTCTCGCCGGCAGCTTGTCACGCTCCGCCAAATTCAGACCGGGACCATCCTCACCCCTTACCTGCTACAGCGGTTCCGTCAGCACAGCAGCAGCCACCGCGAAAAGGGAAGTTGTGCTGCTACCACCAACCTTCCTGGTGCATGCGCATTGTGCCATAAAAACGCTGATCTGGAGCACCTGCTCTGGGACTGCCCGCTATACTGGGAGCCCCGAACCCGCACCTTGGCTACCATCCAGCAGAGTTTCAGACCTACCTCGCTGCATGCCTGGGCCTGCCCGGACCCCTCCTTCCCCAAAATGATCGCTAACGAACTCTGGCGATCGCTGCTCGCGTACATTCAGGACGCTGCAGCTCCCCCTGTCGGCACGCGGCTTCAAGGCATTCAGCTCTCCACCACTGAGCCCAGGCAAAACACCAGGCCTGAACCTACTGTACATCTATCCTCTGACGCCGTCGCACCAACCGGGCCAACAGAGAAGAATGGAAGCACCCTGTCCCCCGCTCCTGTATCCTAAACCCTTTCACCGCAGCATTTCTTAATGCAAAAAAGTGAAATAAACGTTCCTACCTACCTACCTACCCTACTGGATCCTCGTTTCAGGGACACATTTTCCACTCACACAAGCGAAGAGGCCTCTGCATCCCCAAAATTGGAAATTGTGCGAAGCTACCTACAGCAGAGACTCCAGGATGTCCACAGCCAGGCATGCAAAGACAAGAGTGCGGCTGAATCATCACCCCAGAGCGCACCCAGCACCTCCTCAGGCAGCTCACCACCCAGTGATTTTCACTCATGGTATAAGACATCCAGCACAACAACTCTGTTGTGTATTTAATCTTTACATAATATATACATTACAGCATACAGCGGGCACAACCGACCGGGTTGGGGCCAGAGCAGTCGAACGTCTCGTGAATGTGCGCGTGCACCAGTTCACCGGCATCCCTGGATATCCTCGGTTGCCAACACACATCCCTCCCCCCTAGGTCACATAGTCCTTTAGGTAGTCGGGACGTCGCCGTTGTCGCTGGGGACGATTTGACTGTTCTTGCGCAGGCGCTGAAGTTGGCAACACTGTTTGGTGCCTCGGTTCATGGGGTGAAGCAGGTGAACGTTGTGGGGAAGCTGGAGGTGTTGCCACTGGGGTTGACTCCTCAGGGAAGTCCGCTTGACTCGTAGATGGTGGGCACTCTTCCACCGATTCATTCCTAAGCGATGGCTCGCTTGGTAAGGAGAGCTGCTGAGGTGACAGCTCTGTCGTAGGCTCCTCCTCGTCCAGGTATGTGCTCCACTCCCGTCTCCGGATTTGGTCCACGTGCCGCTTCCAGAAACGACCGTCGATGGTGCGAACCTTGTAAGACACCGGACCGGTGATCTCAGTGATGATACCGGGTAGCCACTTGGGGCCTGCTAAATAATTGCGGATGAAGACTGGTTCTCGCGGCTCGAATTCGCGTACACCTTGTCTTCCCCGCAGCGCTTGTTCCTCTTGCTTGTCCACCATCTCTGCTTGTAGGTCTGGGTGAAGCCGGTCCAGTGCAGTACGGAGTCTCCGACCCATCAACAATTCCGCCGGACTCTTTCCGGTCGTTGAGTGCGGGAGAATATGCTGACTCAAAAGAAATCGGGCCAACTTGGTGGCCATGTCGCCTCCTTCCATGCGCCTGAGGACTTGTTTAGTTTCTTGGACCATGCGCTCCACTTGGCCATTTGACGATGGATGATATGGCGCCACCTTAACGTGCCGGATCTGGTTTCTCTGCAAAAATTCTTCAAATTCTTGTGAGACGAACGCTGTCCCATTGTCCGAGACTATAGTGTCGGGAACACCGTGTGTTGCGAACAGCACTCGCAGCCTTTGACACACTGCTGCTGACGACATGGATGCTATCTGGATGACTTCCAGCCATTTCGAATGCGCATCCACCACCAGAAGAAAAACCTTTCCTTGGAAGGGTCCTGCAAAATCGATGTGGATTCGGGACCATGGGTTTCTGGCAAATTCCCACGGATGCAGTCTTGCACGTGCAGGTTGCGGCCTTGTCTCCTGGCAGGGCAGGCAGGTTCGGACCTTCCTTTCAATATCTTGGTCGATACCCGGCCACCAAACTGTGCTTCTGGCAAGCGCCTTCATGCGGACGATCCCGGGATGCGTGGTATGCAGCAGCTCCAAAACCTGGTCTCTCGCTTGCTTTGGAATGATGACTCTACATCCCCACAGCAGGCATCCCCGATACTCCGACAACTCGTGCTGCCGTCGAACAAATGGCTTGAACTCGTCCGGCAGCCTGCCTTGAGGCCATCCAACCCCCGTCCAATGTCGAACTCTGGACAAGGTTGGGTCGTTCCGGGTGCATCGGGCAATCTTCTGGGCATCCCACGGAATCTCCGGCGCAGTCTCCAGCATCCGGACTTCAAAACGTTTCTCGTCAGTTGAGCTGTCTTCCACAGTTAGAGGCAGTCGACTCAGTGCATCCGCGTTCCTGAGCTGATGAGCAGGCCTGTACTCCAGCTCGTAGTCGTAAGCCGACAACATTAACGACCATCGCAACATCCTCGGCGACAGCACTTGAGGCATCGGTTTTGCGTGATGCAAGAGTCCCAGTAGAGGTTTGTGATCGGTCACGATCCGAAAATGCCGACCGTAGATGAACTTGTGGAACTTTCGTATTCCAAAGCCTATCGCCAGAGCTTCCCGGTCTGTCTGTTCGTAGTTCCTTTCGGCAGCTGTCGTAGTTCGAGAGCCATAGGCTACCGGTACCTCCCGGCCTTCGCTATCAACGTGGCTGAGTACCACCCCAAGTCCATACGGAGAGGCATCACATGCCATGACTAGTGGCTGGTGGACACTGTAATGGGCAAGGACGTCCGAAGACTGCAGTAGCTGCTTGGCCCGCAGAAAAGCCTCTGCTTCCTGCGTAGTCCACCTCCACTTATGGCCGTTGTCGAGCAGCCTGTACAAGGGCTCCAAAGTGTGTGCCGCTTCCCGTAGGAACCTGTTGTAGAAGTTGAGTGCCCCTAGGAACGCTTGCAACTCCTTCTTGCATTTTGGCTCGGGTGCCCCATGGATAGCCTTGACCTTGTCGTCTGTCGGCTGTATTCCTGCCTTGCTGACCTTGTATCCTAGGAATACAACTTCATCCACTCCAAAAACGCACTTGTCCCTTTTTAGCCGGACACCGTCGTCTTGAATTCTTTGAAGCACAGCTTGCAGACGGGTGTTGTGCTCGGCTTCATCTTTACCGCCTACCAGGATGTCATCGAGAAAAACTTGCACCCCTTCCAGCCCTTGCAGCAGCTCTTCCATGTACCTCTGAAAAATAGCGACTGCAACAGCTACTCCGAACTGTGGGCGCGTGACACGGAAAAGTCCACGGTGTGTGGTGATGGTGAGAAGGTCAGCTGTCTCACTGTCAACTGTCAGCCGCAGGTACGCTTGGTCTAAATCAAGCTTGGAAAACCTTGCACAGCCTGCCAGCTTCGCGAAAAGTTCCTCAGGTGTGGGTAGGGGGTAGCTTTCCCAACGGACCACAGGGTTTACCGTACTCTTGTAGTCGCCACAGATTCGCACTGTGCCATCCTTTTTTACCACAGGTACTATTGGAGTCGCCCAACTGGAATGTCGGACCGGTTCCAAAATGCCTTGCCTGATGAGCTTGTCCAAGGCTTCATCCACTTTTGGTAGTAAGGCAAAGGGAACTGGACGCGGTTTGAAAAACTTGGGCTGGGCAGTCGGTTCCACTTCGACTCGAACTGGTGGTCCCTTGCTCTTGCCTAGAGCTGGTTGGAAAACGTCGGCGTGACGACTCAGCACTGCTGCGCTGGACGGGCTCTGATTGTTCGTTGCTTCTTCCAGCTGATTGACTCTCAGCTCAATCCCTAGAGCCTTGAACCAGTCTCGGCCAAGCAAGCCTACGCCTGCTCCCTTGATCACGACGAGACGCAGTCGTTTTGACGCCCTTTATAGGTGACTTGGACCATCACGGAGCCTAGCACCTTCAATTCCTGCTGGTTGTACGCGCGAAGACGTAGTTCACACGGTCGCAGCTTGTGCTTGGACAACCGCAGCTGACGCATAGTTCTCTCGTTGATCACAGAGCACACCGCTCCTGAGTCGACTTCCATCTCGAGAGGGTTCCCGTTCACTTCTACGACCACGCGGATAGCAGGTTCCTCGGCAGTCAATTGGAAGATGCCGAAAACATCCGCTGTTTCACTGTCGCGCCGCCGGCCGTTCTGGCGGTTCTGGCGGCTGCCACCTGTAGGCCTAGGCGTCGGTGAGGACTGTTTCGCTTTTCGTCGACAAACTTTCACGATATGGCCCCGCTGCTTGCAAAAGTGGCACTGTGCGTGTCGAAAACGACACTCGTCTGGTGCGTGTGACCCTCCACAGCGAAAACACTTGCCAGCGTCTTGCTGTGACTTCGACGCAGTCCTTTCTCTTGCTGCCTCGGCATTAGGCTTAGCTCTCGGAGCCATTTGCTTACCAACACGACACACATCGCTGCTCTCTGCGGACGCCCCCCTGATCTTTTCTGTCTGGTGGTGGGCGTACTCTGCTGCTATCGCCTTCTCTTTGGCCACCGCGAAGGTTAGTTCCGGCTCGGAGAGAAGCCGTCGCTGAAGGGACTCTTCCCGGAGGCCGCAGACTAACCTGTCTCGGAGCATGTCGTCCAACGTTGGCCCGAAAGCGCAGTGCTCCGACAGCCGACGAAGCTCGGCGATGTAGTCGGCGATACTTTCTCCTTGACGCTGGTCGCGCTTCCCGAACTGGAAACGCTGAACAATGGCGGACGGCCTCGGGTTGAAGTGGGCCGCCAGTCGCGATACGATGTCGTCGTAGCTCGTCTCGGAAGGTAGAGCCGGTGAGCAGAGTGAACGAATGATGGCGTACGTTGCCGCCCCGCAGACCGTGCACAGGATTGCACGCTTCTTCTCGGCTGACTTGATCTCATTTGCGATAAAGTAGAACTCAAGTCTTTCGTGGTACAGTGGCCATGTTGCACCGGTGCTCGGTGCGAACTCTTCGATGCCGCCGAATGCCGGCGCCGCTGATGCCTTTGCTTCTGCCATGGCGCCGTGAACGGCGCTCTAGAAGGTCTTCCGCCGCAGGTTGACTCCACTTCGTCGCCAATGTTGTGTATTTAATCTTTACATAATATATACATTACAGCATACAGCGGGCACAACCGACCGGGTTGGGGCCAGAGCAGTCGAACGTCTCGTGAATGTGCGCGTGCACCAGTTCACCGGCATCCCTGGATATCCTCGGTTGCCAACACACAACAAACTCCCAGGCCACGACAGGAAAGGCGGCAAACCATAACGGTCGTCAAGGCGCAACTTGATGCCTTCCTGGAAGACGAGGAAGTGGAATGCTACAACTCGCAGAGCAATCCCACCGTCTACTGGGAGAAAAAGCGGTACCTGTGGCCTGACCTGTACAGCGTAGCTGTTGGATACCTTGCCTGCCCTCCAACCAGTATGTACTCCGAGAGGGTATTCAGCACTGCAGGAGCCATCGTGACCGACAGAAGGAACCGCCTCACACCGGAGAATGTGGCCACCCTCAGTTTTATTCGCATGAACAGGGAATAGATCCCCAACATTCTGCCTGCAAGAGTAGCCAACAGCCTCAGCAGCGCAGCAGAGACAGCACAGGCCAGCGCAGCTTAGGAGGAACTGTCTGAACCGGAAGAAGAGCCTTTCCTGGAAAAGATTATCTTTGAGAGTGGCGACTGCTAAAGTGCCCTTGCATCACTCCCAATAGCCTATAACATACTGTTTCAAGTTGTTAATTTTCCTGCAAACGATAAGCGGCAACTGCAGTAAAACTAAGCACACTACTCAAGGGTCATGACGGAAGGGACAAACCACAACGCTCGTCAGTGCACAAGCTGATGCTTACCTGGAAGACGAGGAAGTGGAATGCTTAATTAACTTGCGAAACAATCTCATCATCTATACTGGAAGAAAAAAACTACAGGTATAGTCACACTTAGCTACAACAAGCAGTCCGTGGTTTTTCCGTCCTCTCATCGCCGACATAGCAGGTGTGCTTACAAATACGCCACATGCGGGATGCAGTGAACTTGTTCTTCCAAACTGCGCAACGTTTTGGAGTGCACTTTCTATGTGGGTGCTGGGAGGACAGGGGAACCACGGACTGCTTGTTGTAGCTAAGTGTGATTAGCGGTGTACCTGAACCCTGATCTGTACACCTTAGCCACTGGATATCTTGTCTGCCTACCAATCAATGTGTGTACACGGGGGCCGTATCTACCCTGCAGAGGCCGTCATGACCGTCAGAAGGAACCGCATCACACTGCAGAATGTGGCCACCATCAGATTCATTCACATGAGCAGGGCATGGAGGCATAGGCAAGCACAGCTGGAACAGTCTGAACCGCAAGAAACATTCCTGGAAAAGCTGACCTTCGAGTGGCGATTGTTTAAGTGTTAATGAACCACTCCTAGTCCTTTAACTTTTACTGTTTCGACGTGTTAATTTTTCTGCAAGAGAAGCAGCGAGTGCAATAAAACTATTATTTATTTCTGACAACACTTGCTTGGACAGGCAGTTCCAGGAGCATTGAGTATGGTTAAGCTCCTGCGAGAAATGCAGATTGGTATTCGAGATAGTTCGTCTTGCAAACCACGAACGGCGCACCTGAAATGGACGAAGACCTTCGTCCGTTTCTTCTAGTACCTGTTGTGTTGCTTCCAAAGATGTGCAACGCGTAACCTTTCACGGCCGACTTGCTGCCGAGAACGGAGAACAAGTGCGAATTAGCGAGGTTTTCCTTTGCTACCGGTGCCGAAACTGTGGGTGCCGGTACGCGGTCGAAGTTGAGACGAGCAACATTCATCTCGCTCTCGCGCCTTACAGGTACAGACACACGCAGCTCTAAAGAAGGAGGCGAATCATTTCCTTACCTGAATATATTTATTGTGCGCTGCGCCACATTATGGATAATACACTGCCTTTCGCTACATTTTGTCGATCACCGCGAAATCGCACAGAAACCGAGACCGTGCATTGGTTAGGCCTACGTCAACCACACCGATCAGCTCAGCTGGACCGGTCGCGTGCCACGGTTTAACAGTGCAGTGCATACCATACGTTGAAATAAACAAGACGAAATCTGGTTATATTCAGTAACAATACCTAGAAAGAAAACACAACTGACCGTATTCGCGAGGTTTACGAC